GGGGGGGGATAAAGCGTGCAAATTTATGCATCTAGTTTGGGTCAGATGCTCAAAACGCATGGCCGGGGTTTGCAAAGAACACATTTTTATGGTCCGCAAATTGAAATTGTGGAGGAGACGCTGATGCAGCCGTATGCTAAATGTTTCCAGCTCGCCACTTTTAACCTCGAGTTGTGACCCCCCCCCCCCCGCGTTCGCCTGAGCTGCAAAAATCAAAGTTTAGCTGCTGTTTTGCAGGTAAAAGTCCCAAATGTGTCCATTATGTCACAGGAAGAAGAAGAAGAAGAAGAACTGCTCCACAACATGTTGATGGAGGTTTGTCCCAGAAAAGAAGCCCTCAAACACTTGCTCAGATTGTAAAAAGATGGAAGAAACTTAACATGATCACTGTCCCCCTGGAGGAGCTGGGGACACCATGTTAGCACAAAGAAAGAGCCCCTGAAAGCATCACAGGGGGTCACAGGTGGACTGTGGCTCCTCTCCAGTCCAAACAGGTTTAGCTGCTGCTAGAGTTCTGACCAGAACCAGGAAATAGGACCATATAAGTCCAGTTAGGAACCAGGAACCAGGACCACATCAGTCCAGTTCAGAACCAGGAACCAGGACCACATCAGTCCAGTTAGGAACCAAGAACCAGGACCACATCAGTCCAGTTCAGAACCAGGAACCAGGACCACATCAGTCCAGTTAGGTACCAGGAACCAGGAAATAGGAGCATATAAGTCCAGGTCTCAGGTCTCTGCTCTGACTTTAAAACAGCTCTGCTTGTGTACAAATCTCTTCATGGTCAGACATGTTAGAGCCAGATGGACCAGCTCAGACTCTGAGAACCAGGTTCTGGTCTCCTGATGGGGCCCAGAGTCAGAACTAAACCAGCTGAAGCTTCATTTCAGCTCCATGCTCCTAAAATCTGGATCAGGCTTCAACTCTGAATGTTTAAAATCCAGATGAAAACGCTTCTGTTTAATTGTGCAGATGGAAACAGGATGTATTTTATCTGCACCCTTCACTTTTCATCTGTCTAATTTTCATTATTTTTCTTGTTTTTCTGCTTTTAAATTCTCTGTGAAGCACTTCGAATGGTCTTGTACACAAAATGTGCCATACAAATAAACCTGCCTTGCCTAGAATCAGACCCACTTTGCTCAACAACAAAAAAAAACAATGGCAGGATCCTTTTTTCTTTTCCGTGTTTAAGCTGTTTTTTTTTTAAGCTACTCTAAAGACAGAAATCTCCGGGACAAATCGATCCCATCCTTTAAGCCCAAACACCAGAGAACAACTTATTTTAAAAAATCTGGCATGATACACCTAAAGTCTCAGACCCTGGAGTCCCACCTGAGCGTCTGACGGGGAAAACTGAAGCGGATTCACATCTATTTTCCTGTTTTTTTCCTAACAAACAGACAGAGCTCCACAGTAAAACTCCGTTTGGACCTTCGTCCGGCCCTACTGACCGTCGTCGCTGTTGTCGTCCACCAGGATGACCTCTTTGAGCAGGTGGGCCGGCGTGTGGTTGACCGCCGAGTGGACCGAGCGCAGGATCACCGACAGGGCCTCGTTGACGAAGATGAAGATGAGGGAGATCTGGGGGAGGTCCCGGGGGTAGCTGACCTTCCTGCATCTGCGGAGAGGAGAGCGGTCAGAGAACCTCTCAGAGGAAACCTGCACAAGATCTCTTAAAACTCACGAAAATCCACATTTCGATGACAGTTTTGGGGTTTTTGGGGCTTTTTGGAGGCAAAAAACAGTAATAAATTAAATGACCATAAAGAACTCTGCCCATCTATTTCTATTTCTATTAATAAAAGCCCAAATGTTCACATTCCTGAATCCTTTCATTCTAAAAGTACTTTACTGATGACATTGTACATATGTTTTATCTGCTGAAAATGAACAAATCACAGAAGAAAATGGGATCTTACATTGTTTAACCTCATTTCAAACTCTACAACACCTCCCTCAGAGTCAAACACGCCCCTTAACTAAAATAATGGCATTATCACTATCACTTATTTTAGACATATATATATATACACATATGTAAAGACATGTATATATGTATATGCTGTTGTTTTATTTCTGAAATTTGTAACAAAAATAATTTCCCTCTGGGATTATTAAAGTATTTATGATGCTGATTCTGATTTGGTGCTTTGGAAAGGACCAAAAAGATATTTTCATAATTTTGTGTGCGAACAGTACTTTCAAAAGGATGTTCTTTCCTTTTCATATCAATGGAAAAAAGGAGATTTCTGGAGTAAATTCAGCAACAGAAGCACATCTGGTTTTGGAACATCCCCCAAAAGAAAACCGATAGACGTGAAGAGACGCCAGTTAAAGAGTTTTTCTCTTATAAAGAAGGAATAATACAAACAAACCACCAGTGAATTTATCGGTTTTGGTATTCAATGTGTGACAAGATGAACAATGACAGGAACAATTCACTCTAAAGTCGGGATGAGATGAGATGAGAACAACTGAAACCACTTTCTGCCTCAAGTGTAAACTCAAACTTTGTCGATTTCTCTGTAAGAATGTTCCAAACTAAAAATCAAACGCATTTGATGCTTTGGTGCCAAAGATGTGGAAAAGATCTATTACCAGCAAATCAGAAAAATGGCCTCCCAAAGCTGACTCCTTCAGGTCTTTCCCCTCCCAGAGCCGTGTTCAGCCTTCATTTTAAAGCCGCCGTACGGCTCAAAAAGCAGCCAGTGCCTCAAACATGGAGGCAGACTTTACGGCTGTCTGCATCCGGCTGGATGTGGGCTAGCAAAACAAAAGCAGCAAACATTTTGTGATATGAAACAGGCTTTTCTGTCGGAGCCCAAAGCATCATGGGGGATCGTCGACCCTCTGGCAGCCAGACCTGAACCCAGATGGAAATCTACGGATAGAAATGTGGAAAAGTCCTGTGTGGGAAATCAATATGTGTGATCATTTTCTTTTCTATTCTATTTCTTTTCTATTTTATTCTCTCTGGTAAATTTCCAAAATTGAGTTTTTTAAAGGTCCTTTCCTCCTTAAGGTCTAAGAGAAGTCCTCCTCATATTTAGTCTAATTCTTGAGCATTGTTTAATACAGATGCAGAATGGAGGGCAGACTTTACATCTAATTTCAGACTCAGACTGGTATAAAATTATTTAGTTTGACTTTGTTTTGCTTGATACGTTGCATGGAACGTGCTGGTTACTCTCACTTCATGAAGTTTTCCCTTTAATACATTTTCCATCTCTTATTCTCTTAAACGGACTCAGACTTTTGCTTCAGAATTTCCACAAAACACAATGGATGGCACCATGGCAAACAGAGTTCTTCACCTCATCACCCCACAAACACACATACACACACA